GAGAGACTGCCACTGGCAGAGTTTCTCCTCAGTAACAGATAATAATCTGCGTTCTTTCTTCATCTCTTATACAATTACAGACCACTGTCTCTTACCCAGCCAGAGGTCCCCGTTTCAGAGACTTTTCTTGGGGTTCTTTTGTCTTTGTAAATCCTCAAGCCTACACCTGGTTTAGACAACAAACATGGCTGGCTCCATGGATGTCCATTCTTCTCAGCGTTGACTGAGTTAGCCAAGACCGCACCTGGTCTTTGGTGATAAGTTCTCACTTAAACAGTTTTGAAACCTAATATTCTATATTTTACATATTTCTTAAACTATTTACCATCAAAACCTTTCCCAATAACCACGACAATCCATTGGTTCTTTGTTTTTGACAGAGCTACGATGGCCCCCTTTGGTGAAATACTGAGCAGATGGCTGGTCACACACAGGACCATACCTGCCTGGGCATGTCGGCGGCACACATACCAATAGCTTCAGGGACAAGCAGTGACATTGGGTCTGTCAACTGTTTGAACCACCACAATAAAGGGGACTGCAAAATAGCAATTTACTAAATAATAATATAGATGGAAAAGCCCCATTTGATCACCACACCATTGTTAGTGCCACTAGTTTTGAGTGCCTCCAGGACTGGAATTCCCACTTAAGTCACCTCCTCTGATTTTTCAAAGTAATTTAACATTTTGTGTCGTCCTTTCTATGTCAGAGGCCAATGCTCGGGGCTGGGTCTCTCCCCCAGCTCCACCTTCTGCGCCCACTTGCCTCCCCCAGAGCATCCCTGGCCCTGCCACCACCGCTGGCAGGGCAGTGGGGCTAAAGCGGCTTCCTGCCCGCCCTCACTCCACTCGGTGCCACCCCCCTATCCCGCCTCCGCGCACTGCCCCTGCCCCAAGTGCCAACTCTGGCACGGGAACAGCGGCCAAGGGGAGCAGCCTGGCCGGTCTCTGTGGGCAGCGGCGTGCGGAGACCCCTGCAACTCCCGCCTCACACACTGCCAGAGGGGCATGCGGGTCGCTTTCGGGAGCCGCTCGAGGTACGTGCCACACCCCTCACCTCCTCCTGTACCCCAACCCCCTCCCCCGCCCTGAGCCCGCCCCCCACACCCAAACTCCCTCCCGGAGCCCGCCCCCCCGCACCCACTCCTGCACCGCAACCCCCTCCCCAGCCCCGAGCCTGCCCCCCGCACCCACTCCTGCACCCCAACCCCCCCCAGCCCCGAGCCAGCCCCCCGCACCCAAACTCCCTCCCGGAGTCCGTCCCCCGCACCCACTCCTGCACCCCAACCCCCGCCCCAGCCCCGAGCCCGCCCCCCGCCCCCAAACTCCCTCCCGGAGCCCGTCCCCGCACCCACTCCTGCACCGCAACCCCTGCCCCAGCCCCAAGCCCGCCCCCCACCCCCAAACTCCCTCCCGGAGCCCACCCTCTGTGGAGATAGAGGTGGTTACGGACTATTTAGAAAAGCTGGACGTGCACAAGTCCATGGGGCCGGACGAGTTGCATCCGAGAGTGCTGAAGGAATTGGCGGCTGTGATTGCAGAGCCATTGGCCATTATCTTTGAAAACTCGTGGCAAACCGGGGAAGTCACGGATGACTGGAAAAAGGCTAATGTAGTGCCAATCTTTAAAAAAGGGAAGAAGGAGGATCCTGGGAACTACAGGCCAGTCAGCCTCACCTCAGTCCCTGGAAAAATCATAGAGCAGGTCCTCAAAGAATCAATCCTGAAGCACTTGCATGAGAGGAAAGTGATCAGGAACAGCCAGCATGGATTCACCAAGGGAAGGTCATGCCTGACTAATCTAATCGCCTTTTATGATGAGATTACTGGTTCTGTGGATGAAGGGAAAGCAGTGGATGTATTGTTTCTTGACTTTAGCAAAGCTTTTGACACGGTCTCCCACAGTATTCTTGTCAGCAAGTTAAGGAAGTATGGGCTGGATGAATGCACTATAAGGTGGGTAGAAAGCTGGCTAGATTGTCGGGCTCAACGGGTAGTGATCAATGACTCCATGTCTAGTTGGCAGCCGGTATCAAGTGGAGTGCCCCAAGGGTCGGTCCTGGGGCCGGTTTTGTTCAATATCTTCATAAATGATCTGGAGGATGGTGTGGATTGCACTCTCAGCAAATTTGCGGATGATACTAAACTGGGAGGAGTGGTAGATACGCTGGAGGGCAGGGATAGGATACAGAGGGACCTAGACAAATTGGAGGATTGGGCCAAAAGAAATCTGATGAGGTTCAATAAGGATAAGTGCAGGGTCCTGCACTTAGGATGGAAGAATCCAATGCACCGCTACAGACTAGGGACCGAATGGCTAGGCAGCAGTTCTGCGGAAAAGGACCTAGGGATTATAGTGGACGAGAAGCTGGATATGAGTCAGCAGTGTGCCCTTGTTGCCAAGAAGGCCAATGGCATTTTGGGATGTATAAGTAGGGGCATAGCGAGCAGATCGAGGGACGTGATCGTTCCCCTCTATTCGACATTGGTGAGGCCTCATCTGGAGTACTGTGTCCAGTTTTGGGCCCCACACTACAAGAAGGATGTGGATAAATTGGAGAGAGTCCAGCGAAGGGCAACAAAAATGATTAGGGGTCTAGAACACATGACTTATGAGGAGAGGCTGAGGGAGCTGGGATTGTTTAGCCTGCAGAAGAGAAGAATGAGGGGGGGATTTGATAGCTGCTTTCAACTACCTGAGAGGGGGTTCCAAAGAGGATGGCTCTAGACTGTTCTCAATGGTAGCAGATGACAGAACGAGGAGTAATGGTCTCAAGTTGCAGTGGGGGAGGTTTAGATTGGATATTAGGAAAAACTTTTTCACTAAGAGGGTGGTGAAACACTGGAATGCGTTACCTAGGGAGGTGGTAGAATCTCCTTCCTTAGAGGTTTTTAAGGTCAGGCTTGACAAAGCCCTGGCTGGGATGATTTAACTGGGAATTGGTCCTGCTTCGAGCAGGGGGTTGGACTAGATGACCTTCAGGGGTCCCTTCCAACCCTGATATTCTACCTTCAGATCAGCGGCACTGCTATGGGTACCCGCATGGCCCCACAGTATGCCAACATTTTTATGGCTGATTTAGAACAACGCTTCCTCAGCTCTCGTCCCCTAAAGCCCCTACTCTACTTGTGCTATATTGATGACGTCTTCATCATCTGGACCCATGGAAAAGAAGCCCTTGAGGAATTCCACCATGATTTCAACAATTTCCATCCCACCACCAACCTCAGCCTGGTCCAGTCCACACAAGAGATCCACTTCCTGGACACTACAGTGCTAATAAACAATGGCCACATAAACACCACCCTATACCGGAAACCTACTGACCGCTATTCCTACCTGCATGCCTCCAGCTTTCACCCTGACCACACCACACGATCCATCGTCTACAGCCAAGCTCTGCGATACAACCGCATTTGCTCCAACCCCTCAGACAGAGACAAACACCTACAAGATCTCTGTCAAGCTTTCTTACAACTACAATACCCACCTGCAGAAGTAAAGAAACAGATTGATAGAGCCAGAAGAGTTCCCAGAAGTTACCTACTACAGGACAGGCCTAACAAAGAAAATAACAGAACGCCACTAGCGGTCACCTTCAGCCCCCAACTAAAACCCCTCCAACGCATTATTAAGGATCTACAATCTATCCTAAAGGATGACCCAACACTCTCACAAGTCTTGGGAGACAGGCCAATCCTTGCCTACAGACAGCCCCGCAACCTGAAGCAAATACTCACCAACAACCACATACCACACAACAGAACCACTAACCCAGGAACTTATCCTTGCAACAAAGCCCGTTGCCAATTGTGCCCACATATCTATTCAGGGGACACCATCACAGGGCCTAATAACATCAGCCACACTATCAGAGGCTCGTTCACCTGCACATCCACCAATGTGATATATGCCATCATGTGCCAGCAATGCCCCTCTGCCATGTACATTGGTCAAACTGGACAGTCTCTACGTAAAAGAATAAATGGACACAAATCAGATGTCAAGAATTACAACATTCATAAACCAGTCGGAGAACACTTCAATCTCTCTGGTCACGCAATCACAGACATGAAGGTCGCTATCTTAAAACAAAAAAACTTCAAATCCAGACTCCAGCGAGAAACTGCTGAATTGGAATTCATTTGCAAATTGGATACTATTAATTTAGGCTTAAATAGAGACTGGGAGTGGCTAAGTCATTATGCAAGGTAGCCTGTTTCCTCTTGTTTTTTCCTACCCCCCCCCCCCAGATGTTCTGGTTTAACTTGGATTTAAACTTGGAGAGTGGTCAGTTTAGATGAGCTATTACCAGCAGGAGAGTGAGTTTGTGTGTGTATGGGGGTGGGGGGATATGAGAAAACTGGATCTATGCAGGAAATAGCCCGACTTGATTATGTAAAGAGTTGTCACTTTGGATGGGCTAGCACCAGCAGGAGAGTGAATTTGTGTGGGGGGGTGGAGGGTGAGAAAACCTGGATTTGTGCTGGAAATGGCCCACCTGTTGATCACTTTAGATAAGCTATTACCAGCAGGACAGTGGGGTGGGAGGAGGTATTGTTTCATGATCTCTGTGTGTATATAAAGTCTGCTGCAGTTTCCACGGTATGCATCCGATGAAGTGAGCTGTAGCTCACGAAAGCTCATGCTCAAATAAATGGGTTAGTCTCTAAGGTGCCACAAGTCCTCCTTTTCTTTTTCTTTTTATGATTCTATGATTCACCGCCCCCCACTCCTGCACCCCAACCCCGAGCCCGCCCCCAAACTCCCTCCCAGAGCCCGCCCCCACCCCCACTCCTGCACCCCAACCCCCTCCCCAGCCCCGAGCCTGAGGCGGGGAGGGGGAGGGGCAGGGGGGGCAGCACCAATTTCCACCGCCCCGCCCCCCCCCGGCGTCCTCCGCCCGTTTCCGGGTTGCAGAAGCGAGACTCCGACTCCGCCCCCCGGGGCGTGTCTCCCCCGCCCCTGGCCCCGCCCCTCGGTCGTCGCGGGTCACGCGGGCGGGGGGGGGCGCGCGCTCGGCGGCGCCTGCGCTTCCGGGTTCCCAGCCGGAGCCTCGGGGCCGCGGAGCAGGTGAGCGCGCGCCCGCCCCGCCCCAGAGCCCCCGCGCGCCCCCTCCCTCGCCGCCCCCCGCCGCCCCCGCCCGGCCCCGCCCCCGCGTGCCCCGCCCCCGCCCGGCCCGGCCCGGCCCCCACCGGGTCTCCTGGGGCCGCCCGCGGGAGGCAGGGCTGGACCCCCCCGTGCTGCGGGGAGCGGGGCTCGGACCCCCCCGCGCCCCCCCCCGTGCTGCCGGGAGCGGGGCTCGGACCCCCCCCACGGCCCCCCCCGTGCTGCGAGTGCGGGGCTCGGACCTCCCCCGTGCTGCGGGGTGTGGGGCTCGGACCCCCCACGCCCCCCCGTGCTGGGGTGGGGCCCCCCCCCACGCCCCCCCCCGTGCTGCGGGGAGCGGGGCTCGGACCCCCCACGCCCCCCCGTGCTGCGGGGTGCGGGGCTCGGACCCCCCCACGCCCCCCCCCGTGCTGCGGGTGCGGCCCCCCCCGGGGGGGCTCACCCCCCCCCCCCCCCCGTGGCGGGGAGCGGGGCTCGGACCCCCCACGCCCCCCCGTGCTGCGGGGAGCGGGGCTCGACCCCCCCCGCCCCCCCGTGCTGGGGAGCTCGACCCCCCGCCCCCCCCGTGCTGCGGGGAGCGGGGCTCGGACCCCCGCGCCCCCCGTGTCGGGGAGCGGGGCTCGGACCCCCCCGCCCCCCCCCGTGCTGCGGGGAGCGGGGCTCGACCCCCCCCCCCCCCGTGCTGCCGGGGCGGGGTCGACCCCCCCCCCCCGTGGGAGTGGGGCCGACCTCCCCGTGCTGGGGAGCGGGGCCGACCCCCCACCCCCCCCGTGCTGGGGTGGGACCCCCCACGCCCCCCCGTGCTGCGGGGAGCGGGGCTCGACCCCCCCGCCCCCCCGCCCGCCCCCCGGGGGTGCGGGCTCGACCCCCACGCCCCCCCTGGGACCACCCCCCCCCCCCGTGTGGGGGGGCTCGACCCCCACGCCCCCCCGTGTGCGGGGGGGACCCCCCCCCCCTGGGGAGCCCCCCGGGACCCCCGCGCCCCCCCGTGCTGCGGGGAGCGGGGCTCGGACCCCCCCGCGCCCCCCCCCGTGCTGCGGGGAGCGGGGCTCGGACCCCCCCCCCCCCCCCCCCGTGCTGCGGGGAGCGGGGCTCGGACCCCCCCCGCCCCCCCCCCGTGCTGCGGGGAGCGGGGCTCGGACCCCCCCGCGCCCCCCCCGTGCTGCGGGGAGCGGGGCTCGGACCCCCCCCACGGCCCCCCCGTGCTGCGGGGAACCCTGGGTTCGTCTTTGCTTCCGCATTAACTCCGTCTCAGCTGCTCCGTTTGGGAAGGACACTTTGCGTTGCCCGGGGGGGCAAGAAGCCTCAAGAACTTCCCGGGTGCCCCAAGAGAGGCGGCGCTGCCTGGCTCTCAGTGAGAGGGTGGCGGGTGTGGGGGTCCCGCTGCGGGAAGGGAGAATCGCTGCTTAAGAGCGCACCCGCCAATCCCTCTGAACCCCAACCCCACCGGCCACCTAGTGCCCTTGCGTCCAGTCCCAGGGCTTTCCGGGCGCAGCTGGCAGAGAGCGCCAGGCGGATTCCTTTGTTGTGTTTGGTTTGCCTGGAGCTGGTATCTCCCTCCTGTAAACTTGGTCAGTTGGGCCCATCTGCTGTTGTGCATTACTTATATTGCAGTAATGCCCCGTGGTCCCGCTAAGCATCCGGGTCCCGCTGAGCTAGGTGCTGCCCAGACACAGAGGCAACATCGTCCCTGCCCTGAAAACTAGCAGCTTAAGCTTGTTGATGGTCTTGATTAGAGTAACTGTCCTGAATGCCACCGATACCCAGGTTTGTCTTCTGGGTGCCACTGACGTCAGCTTTCGAACCTCCCCCAGCTCCTTTCCTCCAACTACTGTTGGCTCTCCGCTCTCTCCTCGCTCCTCTCCTCTCTTGTCCCTGAATTCCGCTCCATGTCCCTTCTCTCCCTGTGTGGTTTGCAGATGCCTAATCCAGGTCTTAGAAATTCATCCGCTGCATCAAACCTGATTACTAGAGCATATCTGTTAGAAAAGCACCCAACCTTGATTTAATGACTCCAAGTGATGGAGAATCTGCCTCATATCTCAGTAATCTGTTCAAATGGTTAGTTACCCTCACTGTTAAAAAATGTTTTTCTATCTCTTAACTACTGACCCACTAGAGCTTGTGACTTTGTTAGAGAACCTACCGGCATCAGAAAGCTCCCCATGTGGTACTTATAGCTGTGATCAAGTCACCTCTTCACCTTCTCTTCAATCAGCTAAATAGACTTAGCCCTTGTCTGCACGACAAACTTATGTCGGTATAGCCACACTCGGGAGTGACGTGGTTATGCCAATCTAACCCTGGCATAGACAGCGCTGTGTCCACATAGCTACCACTTTGGGGGGTGGGGGGGTGGGGTACCTACGCTGACAGGAGGTGCCGGCAGCGTCTTCACTAAGGCTTTGTCTACACTGCACTTTCATCGGTAAAACTTTTCTCGGTCGGGTACGAAAAAACATACCCCGACCATCAGAAGTTTTGCTGACGAAAAGCATCGGTGTGGACAGTGCGTTGTCGGTAGGAAGACGCTCTGCTGCCGACAAAGCTACGGCCCCTTCTTGGGGGTGCTGCTGTAAGGTGTGCAGCGTAGACGTAGCCGAAGTGCTGTAAGGCAAGTCTACGCTACAAAACGTAGTTGAGCTAAGTTACGTCAGTGTACAGCCGCTGCCATAATTAAACTGCTTTTGCAGGTTGGCGCCACGGTCCCTGTAGCAGTGGTGCGTGTCCTCACCAGGAGTGCTTGCACCGCTTTAAGTGTCGGTGTTGGGCATTGTGGGAGGGCGTCTGAAAGGCAGTCAATGTAAGCCAGGTTTCAGAGGAGCAGCCGTGTTAGTCTGTATTCGCAAAAAGAACAGGAGGACTTGTGGCACCTTAGAGACTAACCCATTTATTTGAGCATGAGCTTTCGTGAGCTACAGCTCACCTCATCAGATGCATTCAGTGGAAAATGCAGTGAGGATTTTTTATACACACAGACCATGAAAAAATGGGTGTTTATCACTTCAAAAGGTTTTCTTTATAATAATAAACCTATTACCAGCAGGAGAGTGGGGTGGGGGGAGAGAAAACCTTTTGAAGTGATAAACACCCATTTTTTCATGTTCTGTGTGTATAAAAACATCTTCTGTATTTTCCACTGAATGCATCCGATGAAGTGAGCTGTAGCTTATGCAAGCTCATGCTCAGATAAATTGGTTAGTCTCTAAGGTGCCACAAGTCCTCCTTTCTTAATGTAAGCCATGCAGTTTCTACACTGCGGTGACCTAACTACATTGACTTGAGCACTACGCCTCTCGCGGAGGTGGAGTTAAATCAGTGTCGTGGGCAAGTTGCATTGGTGGGAGCTGCAGTTTAGTGTAAATGCTTACAGTGGTAGATCAATGTAAGCTGCCTTACGTGCACCTACCAGGCTAAGTGTAGACGAGCTCTGAGCATCCCGAGTCTCTCGTTGTTGTTGTTTTTAAAGTTTTCCAAACCTCAAATCATTCTTGTGGTTCTTAAAATCCTAGAACCATAGGGTTAGAAGGGTCCTCAAGGGCCATCTAACCCCCTGCTAAGATACACAATTTGTTGTGTCTAAAAGCTTCTCTGAAGTGTCTTCATTTTTTCAGCATCCTTTTAAAAATCAGAATAGAGTGCAATATTTCTGTAGTGGTCTCAGCAGTGCTGTAAACAGATGTAAAATCACCACCCTCCTCATGCTCAGTAATCCTCTGTTTATACACTGTTCGCCCTTTTTGGCACAGCATTGCATTTGGACCTCGTGTTCTTTGTTAAATACAATGATCTCTAATTCCTTTACAGAGTCACTGCCTTCCAAGATCCAGCCCCCATCCTGTAAGTTACACTTTTTGTTCCTAAGTGTATGACCTTGCATTTGGCCATATTAAAACACATGTTGTTTGATTGCATCTGGCTTGCCCAGTGATGCAGATTGCTCTGTCTGTAACTTGTCTGTGTTGTTGTTCACCACCTGACCAATCTTTTTGTTGTGCGCAAACTTCATTATCAAGGGATTTTATATTTTATTCCAGATCTTGGTATTGGAATCACATCTCCACCTCTTTTATGGAGTACTTTGCAGCATCTCCCAATGGCTGAATGAGAATGCAGTATTTTCTTTTCACAAGTAGCATCTTATTAACAAACTGGAGTTATCAAGTTACAAACCTTGTGCTAACCGTGAACTTTGTCCTCAGGACAAAGCCACGAGATGAAAGTCTGAGTGATAGGGTCAGCTTCTCTTGGTGTTGACTTCTCCTCTAGGCTGCTGATTCCTCTCCCCTTACCCTGCTCCCTCCGCACCACCCCAAGCCATAGTAAGTCCTCTCTTGTCGCTATAACAGGGCTTTGAAATGGTGTTTGATTGAAGATAGTATTGGGGGTCTTCCATCCCCAGCTGCAGCTGTCCCTTTGGGTTTGAAAGCTGATGCTAAGAGAAGTGCTGAGCAGGTCAGGCAGCATCTCAGGAGAGGAGTAAATTTCCTTTGCAGGGAGGTGACAGATTTCCCTAGGGCTTCAGTGGGGCAGCACCATTCTGAAAATCTGTACAGTGGTGTTTTGCGTGGGGTGCTGTCGCCAGTTGGAGCTGAGGTAGCTAGGGGAAGTCAGTAGGCCATGCAGCACCCTGCCGTGTGAGTGGGTGGAGCAGGAGAAGAGTCAGGTTCTCTGCCAGGAGTTGCTTCCTACCCCACTTGGCAGCTGCATTAGGTTTGACTCTGCGCTCTCCCCAACCCTCCCAAGAGCAGGAGTCTGGCACAGCTAATTGGACTTTTTCTTCACTCTTTGCTATTGGCGCATTCAGTGGAGTGTGGCCTGCCACCTTCATATGGTGTTTCTTGCTGCTCCTTTGACATGAGATCACAGATTGTTTCAAAAGTGACCACACCTTGTGCTCTATTTTCTGCTTCACCCATCTTTCAGCTGGAGCTTCTGCATCACAGTTTAAGGTGCAGGGTGCATGCTCCCCAAAGAACATAGCACATGATTGAGTAGCCTGTAGTTCTCCGTGTCCCTACACATCTCTGTTCTGACTGCAAATCATATTGCTCACTGGCTCAGAGATGCTGCCACTCCCAGGGGACAGTCTTGAAGGGGAATCTTTCTAGGGCGGACCTGAAGGGGCACAGAGGTGGGGTTCATGAAATTCTCTTCCTGCAGAAGAATTGGATTATAGTGAATTGTGGGCCTCACTGAGACCCCTGCTCACCTGGATTAGTGCTTCAGTGGGGTAGTTGCCTGCATAAGTGCTCATGAATGTGAGGGCCCTTTAAGTGGAGTGTGCCAGTAACTGGATCCTCCAACCTTTTTGGTGGTCCTGGTCTTTAATCCTGCCCCCTCCCAACCCACTGAGTGCTGCAGGGAGACTCTGAGGTTGCTTCTGCATTCTCCGGGGAACTTGGGTCAGCAGGAGAATCACGGTGGGATTGCTGCTGTTCTGGAAGTCCCCAGGGAGTGAAGATGAGTGCCCCTGGTCTGGTGGAGCAGACTGCACTCTTTACTCTCTGGTTAAGAAGCCGCAGTGGCATTCCCTTCACGTACACACTTCACTTCCCCAGGCTGGCAGAGAGATCCAGGCCACCTGTTTTCCATGGGTCAGGCTGCAACATCAGATTTCAGTCATGGCCCTTGCTCCCATTCTTTTGTTGTGGCTGGACAGAGGAAGAGGAAAAGGAGATCATCCCCTTGGAACGCAGGAATGCTCACCTGCCTGGCACGTGACACTACTGCATTCCAAGGGGATTAGTACCTGGAAGTGACGGGAGCAGGATGCAGTGTCACTGAAATGGATCCCAGCAGATTGGACGAGTCATTCCATTTCTGCACAGGTAAAGTTTCACCTTGTCTGAGTTCACTCTGAGGCTGAGTCAGAACTTGGAGCTAGGGGTGTGATTCCCAGCTCTCATCGAGCTAGTGTGCTAAAAATAGTGGGTAGCAGCGTGCTGAGTCCACACCTGCCTGAGCCTCCTGGGCGCTGTCTGTGTGACTCCAGCTACGCTACTGTTTTAGCACGCTGGCTCGAGGAGAGCTGGCACAAGTATGTAGACGGTGCTTGCTGGCAGGCTTCCTGTTTCACTCAGGCACATTGGAATGGGTGTGTTTTATTTGGAGAGGGTGAAGCTGGCTCAGTGATTTAGGCTCTGTGAATTTCTTGTGAAGGCTTAGCTCATACAGTAATGATGTGCAGAGACAGAGGTGGGATTGAATGTACCTAATGTGGGCTCCATTTTCTGAGTTACGCTTTGTTTCTCCATCTCTCGTAAGTCCTTGTCACTGCAGTATGCAGGCTCGGAGAGATTGGGTAATGTGCAAGAGGCAGAGGGTACAGACTGCACACACAGGCAAACCTGTAAGTACTCTAGTGACATCTCAGCTAGACCCTCCCTCCGAGGCACGTTACACCAACTTCAGAGGCCGAATCCTAGATATGGACCAGACGCGGGTGCGTACATGCACTACAGAGCGTCTCAGTCAGACATACTCCATGCACTCCACCGTGCCCCAGGCATGGACCCAACATACACATACACTCAATATTTTTGTAACTTCCTTTGTTTATCTGTACTGCTAATTTTTTAAACGAGAAAATTCCGTGCTTAAAATAGTGTTTGCCATGGCAAAGCTGAGTAATTTCATATGCAAGCCAGGAAATGCAGAGATAGGATTAAACTATCAACCCTAACTGTCTCCTTGTGCTGTGTGCTTTACAGCGCACTCTTAAATTCTGTGATCACTTAGTAGTGTCAGATAATCCAGTTTGAACTTCTCTAGGATGTTAGATAACATGTCACATCATAGAAGAAAATCCCCATCCCAATAGCTGTGGGTTGCACAATGTATTTTTGTCTACAACTCCACCTCACTCTCCAGACAGAGGAAAACTTCACTGAAACACTATGGAATTTTCCAACTTTATCTGATTTCTTCATATCAAATTCTTGTGTTGGCTCCACAGTGTCACAGTAAGGGTATGTCTACACTGCAAATTTTTTGTGCAACAAGTTACACCACTTTTATTAAAGCGCTGTTGTGTGTGCACACTCTGCTCCTTGTGATGGCAGAGCGCATCCACATTAGCAGCTCTTGCAACGGCCCAGAGAGCAGTGCACTGTGGTAGCTATCCCACGGTGCAAGTGGCCACAGGGTGCTTTGGAAAGGGTTTGCAATGCCTCATGGGGCAGGCACAGCATCACATGATGCAGGTTTCCCAGTCCCATTGTTCCATGGGCATTCCAGTACCTTGCCAGCCGCTTTTCAACTGAAGAGGAGGGCCGAGAGTGTGTGACAGGGAGTGTGTGTGTGTATGTGGGGGGAGAGACACTGTGTTTTGGGGAACAGAGAGTGTGTCAGCATGCTGTCTTGTAACACACACACACACCTGCCGCTGTGTTCACCGGCAGGATCATTCCACAATAATGGTTTGCTTTGTGTCCCAGAGCAGACCAGCACAGCGTGCAAGCGCTGTCAGAAAGGGAGCTTTGAAAGGGGAGAGGCGCATGTCTCCAGGACAGCCGAGTTCAAAACAATGAGCAGAGCGGCCACTTGCGGGATTATGGGACGCTTCCGGAGGCCAATTACAGCGCTGAAAGCAATTGATGTGTTTACCCTGGCAATGCAGCGCAGGTGGGTTTTTTGCAGCTGAGGAGTTTCTGCACACCTCAGGAGTTACACCCCAGAAAGCTGCTTTACTGTGCAGAAACTTGCCAGTGTAGACAAGGCCTAAGAACACAGGAGCTCTGAGTTCATAGGTGCGTAAGTTCCAAGGTCAGAAGGAACCACCGTCATTGTCTAGTCTGAGCTCCTGTATAATACAGGCCACAGAACTTCCCCTTATCTCCAGCACTTGCTAATTACCTGTTACGTGTGTATGCAGGTGAAAACTCTCCTTTTGCTGCATTTGAGAGATATTGTTATGTGATCACATAATTAAAGGCACTGTGGAGCATTCATCGTCAACTCTGCATGTCCTGCCTTTTGTGTGCTTCACTGTGCTGTCCTGAATGAGGAGCGTATGGAGTGCATTGAGCATTTGTGCAAAGGTGGGCTCCCTGACTTGGGGTGCAGCTGTGACTGCAGCATTTTAAGCTGAAAATGCTGGTTTCATTAGCAGCTGGAAGAGATTCTTCGTTCACCACCATGCTTGTCGGTCAAGTGCAGTCTGTGTTTTCTGGCCTGTGGTGGTCAAATTGACCTCAGAGGTGTGGTGCAAGCATCGGTCACTCAGCTCATGTTCAGTAACTAGCTTCGGAGCTGTCCCAGGGTGTGCTTTCTCATGCTATGGCTTTCCCCCCCTTCCATTTTTGGTGGGCCAGCCTGTGAATTGAAAGGACTGTCCTGTAACCCTCAGTGTTGTACCTCAGGATTGCTCAGAGAGATGGGGGGGCGGGGGCGGGAGAGAGAGGCTTCCCTCACAATACCTTTTAGCCAAGGCTATGCTGGGAGCCAGGAGGCCATGAGTTAAGAGTTTTGCTTCTTTCTCTGACCAGTGTTGATATTTCTGTGCACTTCAAAACCTCTGCTATTGAGGGAAGTCTTGTACTCCTAGCTATAGGAGGCAGGCAAGTGTCACTTACAAATTCTATAAATAAGTTAGGGCATGTCTACACTATGAAATTAGGTCGATTTTGTAGAAGTCAATCTTTAGCAACCAATTTTATACAGTCAATCGTGTGTGTCCCCATTAAGCGCATTAGGTCGGTAGAGTGCGTCCTCAATACCGGGGCTAGCATCGACTCACGGAGTGGTGCACTGTGGGTAGGTATCCTACAGTCCCCACTGCCCATTGGAATTCTCAATGCCTGATGGGGCAAAAACATTGTCGCGGGTGGTTTTGGGTA